TGTTCTCAGGAAAATACTTCCATTTCTTTGCCAAGACTGTTAGTGTAATTCAGGAAGGTAAAATTTTTCAATCATTTGGTGATAGTTAACATGGTTAACAGTAACTGCATTAGCTTGACATGATAATTGTGTAGTCGTGTCATCGTTGGCTGACTAGATGTGATTGTGAGGCCAAATCCTACACTCTGGTGATGTATCTTTTAATATTGATACTTTATTACATGATATATGTGTTCATCATCAGTTTTTTTTGGTGTGTCTTCATTTTTCGAGATGGGTAAATTTTTCTTGAAGATAGTACAAGTATTTCTTCTTTTTTAGGTAGAAAATGTTTATAAATAAAGTACATAAAATAATTTATATCATGGTGTTTTTGGAAGTGAGTACAAATTACTGTTACCCAATCTACCATGTTAAGTTTATTTTTTTTACAGATTACAGTCCCCTTTTCCTGTGAAAAACTTTTGTGTTTGTTTGTTTAAAGAAAATGTTTTTCTCTCATTCTTTTTTTTTGTTTAGAAAAGATGTAAAAATTGTGAAACTGAGTTTTTGAAGTGTAAATGAATAGGTTTATGGAATTTTGTGAATGACATAATTGACATGTTACATAATTTAAGTTAACTTAGTGGTAATAAGTTAAATTTACTAGTAAATGTACATACAGTATTGTTGCCAAAAATAATTGCACTTTTAATAGTTAGTCCTTTCATTTGTTTTAAGAAGAAAATTATTTCTACTAAAATTCAGTTAGATATAGCATAGTTCGTGTTTACAAACAAATGAAACTCTTGTTTTTGTTTATTGACACATGTTCCAGCTAGAGAAGTGGTGGGAGGATGTGGCATACCTGTCCGTACGACTTCCTCTGGTTCCATGTATGAGCATGGCTTCCACCTATCATCTGCATGAGATTTGGCCATCATTACAAGGTTGTCAGATTGATCGAGCTGCACTTTTCATGTATTTCCAGATATTATTCTGGAAGCTGTTGAGGACGTAAGTGAACAGCAGCCGTAAAAGATAAAATTATTGCTAAACTGTGATTATGTTGGTAACAATGTGTAGTTGAAGCCACTATGTGTGTGAAAGTGCTACAATAACTGGTGATCAGTCATGCTTTAAACTTTCCATTTTGATAAAATTTAGTCAAAATTGAAATTGTATACTGTTTTCAAATATTTTTCCAGTGTTGATGCGTAACAGAGATGCCTGTTTCTAAGCTTGTTTTGTTGTACTATCAGACATAAATACTTAGTCAAGTCATGAAATGGAAAAATGGCTCTCCATCAAGAATAGGAAAGTTATGGCAATGATTAATAACATTTAATAATCAGATGTTTCGAGATTTTCAAATCCCTTCATTAAAGATGGTACCAATTCATACGTAATTGATCAGAATTGGGCATGAATTGGTGCAATATTTGATATATTACAGAGTACTGCTGCTGATGGTGGATTATATATAAGTAGTGTGAAAGCATGAATTGAATAAAAATTTTATATACATATTCTAAATGAATAAAGAAAGAATTAATTTCTCATTTTTCAGGGAAAGGGGGAGGCAAGTGTCTCTCTTA